GTAGCAACAGGTTGCGAGAGTATAAATGTTGAGTCGATGTGGAAAGCGTCGACTAGAGGATTAATTCATTATATCTCACAAATTGGACAACATACTTGATTTAGAATAACGAAAATCATTATAAGTAGTGGTTATTGATCCAATTTGATAAATTTTACTTATACCACATAATAACTAATACGTCATAGCCTAATTAAATGCCTCCCAATGTTTCATTAAAGGTAAAGTCCCGAAGCTCGAAAATCTTTATATTGGGTACTGGGGCTAAGGACGTATTGACCATCCATTCACTCATTTTGACATACATACTATTATCAGGAAAGGATCCTATCTGAAATTCAAATATATATCTTACACCGTGACCTATATTTTGGTCATAAGGAAGTATATTTAAAGGCATTATTGGTGCAAATTTTATTCGATACATAAATTTTGCTTGATTGCATATTAAAAGTAAAAGACCAAATGGAATTTAAAATTGTGGTATATGGGAAGTGTCATGGTTATACTCATTCTTTAATCTTGATCATTTATATATATATTAACTCGATTGGGTGATAAAACAACTCAAATTACTAATAGTAGGGTTGAATGAGTTTGAGCGAAAACTGGTATATCGATTTACATATTTGAAATGGGTGTGATGTGACATGGTTTTGCTCAACTCATAATGGAAGTGAGGTCTATATTTGCCTATCATGAAAATAGGTTTGACACATAAAATTCAGATTTGATTGTTAAGATAAATAATTATTAAAATAAGTAGTTTGGATAAAAGTTGGCTAAAGTTGGCAGTAGTGTAAACTTGAACGAATATTTAGCTTTATTTTGTCTTTCACTTACTTTTGGGAACAATTTCGGTCGATTTCAATGTTTTCCAAATTTTAGTTAAAAAGTGATATAGTAGCTAATACATTATTGTTCAGTGAGTTTTTGAGCCCGAAATGTCCTAAATTCTACTATTTTGAGTTTTCCAAATATTTTATCTAGCATTTTAAAAGTAATTATAGTTAAAAGTTATTTGAATGATTTTCCACGGACATAATCAGCTATAAATTTCTGACTGTCAGTAACGTCACTGGATAAAGAAAAAATAAATCTCCAAGCGAAGTTGAATACGGTAATTTAAACAACAAAACATTCAATGATACTTAAAGTAAAAATGGTGTTCGATTTACATAAATTCTAGCGAAAATAAACCACAGCGCACGGTAAACAATTTTGAGAAAAATTAAAAGTGCAGCAAGAAAAGTTAAGAAGACAGTAAAACGGAAAGACCAAAATATGGTGGCACCTAATGCGAATTTTAGGTTTCCTCAACAGACCTCCACTATTTACCGCATTGAATTTGAAGGTCATCTCACCGGTAGCATCGTAATTTCGCTCCGCCTCGATTATGAAATAACGACGCAGCAACAACACGTCGCAAACCTGGCACACGGTAAATAATCTGCAGGAAACCTACCGCGAAAGCGTGCGTTCATATAACAGTAGATGATCGGATTGTAGCAGCTATGTGACATGGCCAACCAGTGGAATGCAAACCAGAAGTAAGCAACGGCTCCAGATTTTGAAGGCATCATCGTTGAGTAGAAGCTGCAAAGAGAGAGAGAGTGATTAAATATAATATTCTTTTTCGAAGGGCGCACATTTCAGCGCTGTTTAAGAACGGGAAGCGTTTATATATAAATATTATTTGATAATTACATGTCTTATAGACTTACCACAAGCACGTTGAAAGGCAGCCAACACATGGTAAGACGATAACAACCGTCACCATCATTTTAATCATCTGCAAGTAATAAAAACGGTATATTGCTAAATTATTCGCTGATATAATATAGCTGTGGTTGCAAGCAGTTAGAATTAATTACAAAAATGCATACATGTATTTCTATAAAGTATTGTTTGTAACAATTTATCATTTGCCGTCATGCTGCGGTAAACAATAAATTTTATATAAACAAGTAGGAAGGGCTAGGTTGGATGAACCGAACATTTTATACTCGCAAGTCAAATAGTATACTCGTTTGAGATTTCTTTGTGGATTGATGATATTTTCGGTAGAAGGTCAACTATAGGACTGGGGTCCACATATTTAGTACTTAGGGCTTAAACAGTTTTGGTTCGATTTAGACATTTGCCACAAGTGGCATACTTTAATCGCATTATCACGCAAAGTTTATCCCGATCGTGTTGTTGCTGATTTACTAGTAAGTGAACAATCAAGAATTTATGGTTATGGGAAGAAGGCGTGGTTCGTAGTCGATTTCGCCATTTTCGAACTATGCATAAATATGAAAGAACGTTATGCACTGAACTTGGTGGAAATCGGTTAGCAGATCTCAAGATATGGTTTTCACCTAAAAGTCTGTGCCACGCACTTGTCTAATTTTGAACGCGTTCCTATAAGTCATCTCATACCATCCCAAGATAAAATTTATGTCTCTGGCGTGTTTAGTGCTTGATTTATCGCGCTTTTAGTAGTTTTAACAGTACCGTTATATGGGAGTGGCGGAGTTGCCACCCTTTCAACTATTTCACACCGTCAATAGAAGTGCTAAAACATTTGCTTCAGTGAATTTTGTTATTATAGCATTAGCGGTTTAGGAGATATGCACATTAAACCTATTAGAGGCGGGACACGCCCACTTTTAAAAAGTTTTAGCTGCAGATGCCCTCCTAATGTGATACGTGTACCAAATAACAGTCTTGTATCTTATTGCGGAGCTTAGTTATGGCAAGTTATTTGTTTTGATTAATGGCGTTTTGTGGCGTGGCAGGGTTCCCATCTGCAATACCAACCGTCTCACGGTACCAAGAAACATGTCTACCAAGTTTCATAAAGATATCTCAATTTTTACTCAAGTTAGAGCTTGACAGACGGACGGATGGACAGACAGTCACCCGATTTCAACTCGTCTCTTCATCCTGATCATTATATATACATAACCTATATCTAACTCGATTAGTTTTAGGTAATACAAACAATCGTTAGG